TCTCTCTCCTCCTCTTCTCTCTCTCTCTCTCTCTCTTCTCTCTCTCTCTCTCTCTCTCCTCTCTCTCCTCTCTCTCTTTCTCTCTTCCTCTTTTTTTCTCTCTCTCTCTGTCTCACTTTTCTATGTCTGTAGCTCTTCTCTCTGTCACTCGGGTCCCATCTTTCTTTTGAACGATTCACCTACCCTCTTCACCTGTGAGCGAAGCATCCTTCCTGGTCGGTTTCGCTATCTCTCTGACTTCACCCTGGTCTGTCACCTTCAGAGAACTCTTTCTTTCCGCTGTCTCTGACGGCCCCTCAACTATGTCTTTCAGAGAGCTTCTCGTTCCCTTGTGCTAACCGCCCTCTCTCATTTGTGTCTTTCAGACACAGACAGCTTCTCGTTCCTTTATGCTAACAGCACTCTCTGATCTGCCTCTTTCAGAGAACTCTCTTCACTGCGACTGCCGACTGCGGGAGCTGGCCACCTACCTCTCCGACAGCAGCGCCTGGCTGGAGGACGAGGATGTGAGACAGATCACCTGCGCAACGCCCACCGCACTGGAGAACGCACCGCTGGTACGTAACGACCCTCTGATACGTTATACGCCCTTACGAGTGCTGATAGAGAACGCTCCGTTTGTGCGTAACAACATGACGATACGATAGAGAACATCCCCTGGGACGCAATGCCAGTATAATCTGGAGAAAGTCCCTGGTACGTAACAACATAACAATAGAGAATGCCCCTGGTACGTAACGCCCATAGTAATAGAGAATGCCCCTCTGGTACGCAACTCCCACCGCAACGGATAACGTCCCGCTGATACGCACGTTACGTCGCCTCTGTGGTAGACAATGCCCCTCTGGTATGTAACACCCATAGAAGTAGAGAACGCCCAGCTAGTGTGTAACACCAAAGTGCCATAGAGAACACCTCCCTGTTTGGTAATGCAGCATGCCTTCCCTTTGCTTGTAACGCGCATTAAACGACTTTTGACGAGATTAAAGGACCTTGGCGTGATCGTATTTTGAATGAGTTTCAATCAATCATTCGTGATCGCGCTGCAATGCTGCAACTAGCACAACAGCTTAGCAACATCAATTATGTTACAAGTAGGAACAGTTAAGATCGATGCAGTAGCGGCGGAACACCTTCAATTAAGGTGGGCACTGCCGACTTTTGGTCCCATTCTTTCCATGCAACGCCCATAGGGCTAATGTTAAAATGCCCAAATCAAAAGGGGCACGGTGCCCCGGTGCCCTCCCCGTTCCGCCGCCTATGGATCGATGGTCTGACTTTTAAAGGTCAAAGTGAGTTAAATAGCGACTCTGCAGTCTGCGCTGCCCGGGTCACTATCATTCGCTGCATAATAAATAACCTATCGTTGGACTTTTGATAATATTGGCAAAGCTAACAAGGAAAATCTGAACATTGAGGCCCGATCTCGACATGGTAGTTATCTGTTTGTTCTGAACTCAAAGTGACGCGATTGCACTGGCACACACCGCACCTTTTTGCTGTTTACTAAGTCGGTCACGATAATTTATGTAGTGTACACTGACGGGCACGATGGTCACAGTGTATACGATGGTAACTCCCCGCATCGGTGGTCACTGGTCACTCAAGTCAATACTTACAGCTTCGAGTCTTGCATTGGACACTTTTCTTATTAGCTTTCCAGTGTGTGGGCAGGACTATGCAGTACTGATTGACTAGCCTTAGTGTGTTCTTCGTGTCCCAGTGTCGTGCAACGGTTGATTTGGGCCAAAATGTGCTTAAAACAAGACAGTACAACTACACGCTCTAAACCCAATCGCTGTCGGCACCACTCTGTTGCACAGTGTCTGGGTTTATACTAGCCTTCGCCTGCCGAGCCTGAATGAAGCGTCCAACCTCACTCGTCTGCTTCCTCATGTGTATGACTAGCGAGTAGTTAGTCTTCCCGTCTAACTAAAGCTTACTGAATTTCCCTATCCCACCTCTGCTTCAGGTGGACCTCAAACGCGATCAGCTGACCTGCCGCGAGCCTCCGACCGGCCCGCCCGACTCCGACTCCGACACCGACTCCGACTCGGATGACGTCATCCGGCTGGATTCTGCCCAGCTGACTCCCGGTGGCGACGGAGTCCGACTCCGATGGAGTGTGGCACCCAGCCTGTCTCCGTACCGCTGTGACCAGGTGGCGCTAGCGTCGCGACCCGACTCGGCGCAGCCGTGTGAGACGCTCGAGTCGACCGACCCGACCGATCTACAGGTGGCGCTGCGGTCGGTGGACCTGTCGGCCGGCGAGCAGTACCAGTTCTGTGTCACCCTGAGGCAGCTGTTGTCCGGTGTGGAGCTACCTCTGCCCTCTGCGTGTCAGTGGGCGGAGCTGACTCCATCTCCAGCGACCCTCCCGCGGCTGGAGAGTTTATCTGCGGAGGTGGCCTCTGGAGGTCGAGTTGCGGCGCATCTGAGCGTCACCCCTGAGGAGGGTAGGGATTTGGAACACTGCGCCGTGACTGTGGTGGTACTGGGGCCGCGCGGGCCCCTCTCAGCCGTGGAGGCGTCCTGTGCGGTACGGCGTGTGACACTGTGGGCAGCCGTGGGAGCGGGTACGGTTCGTGTGTGCTCCACGGAGCCGTACCACTCCGCAATCGCCGTCGACAGCTCACGGGTGGTGGACGCCGGCGCGATGGTGGCGTCCTCTGCACCGCCGCTGCGCCGCTGTGTGCAGGTGCACTCCACAGAGGGCGCTGGGTGGTGGCAGGCGGCAGCGGCCGGCGCGGCGGCGCTCGCGGCGGTGGGCCTTCTGCTCGGCTGGGTGCTCTACCGGTGGAGACGCAGCCGCTGCTCGCCCGGGCGAGCGGGCCGGAAGAGACTCGAGTCGAGCGACTCTGCCCCCAGCGAGTTTGTGGACGCGGGAGAGAGCGACGAAGACGAGGAGACGGACCTTCCCGTGTGATGAACGCTGAGAGAGAACTGCGGTACAGACTTCAGACCTCCCAAGGGTACCGATGGGGCAGACCCATGGGTCAAACAGAGTCCCTCGTCAATGACGGCTCGTCATCAAGCTCCTGGAGCTCAGACTTGGCCCGTTCGGAGCTCGGGACTCATCCCTCAGAACGTTTCTCATGACAAAGCGAGCTGTGTTCTGGTCATTGAAGGCAGAGACGTTGTTCGATGAACTAGTCTTCGTGTGTTTGTGAGCTGCAGGCAGCGCCAGTGATGCAGTGGTGAGCAGTGGTGCCACAGCAGTGAAATCGAGACTGTTCAGTGTTCACTGCGGTAGACGTAAGAATAGCTGCGACATGACTATATGAGTGTGGGTTCTAAGTCATATATGTAATTGATGATCAAGTGTCGTGATCATAGATAGATATATATTGTGTGAAGGACATATTATTTGAACTTGCCAAGGGTATTTGTAGGTTGTTTTAAGCGGAAAGCTACATGCTTTTTCCATTCAAGCGTTTCGTTTTCCACAATTTTACAAATGACGGTGAAGCGATTGGTTCGGAAATGTAATTGGCACAAATGTGCCTTATTATCGTAGGTAATCTTCCTAATTTTATATGTTCATGTTGAGGTGTTCCTGTTTTTGTCGTGTTGAAGGAAAGGGCGTCAATTGTAAAAAAGTAAATAATACTGAAAAATAGATAACCGTTAACACTTAACACCGGTTGGACTAAACTTGGTCTTGCGTGCCTATCTTGTTTGTAATTCACGGTTTGCTCAAACCGACATCAATGTGTGCTCTCTGTAAAGTTATGGTGCTGATGGCAAGTGTGTGCGACATGTGATGAGCTTGTGAATTCGGGATGTGCCAAATACAGTAACTTCACTAGCTAACTGCCCAATATATGTGTCTTACAGACAAGAGTGTTTTTTAGACGACAAGAAAAAGGAGGCGCTAGGTACTGTAGTGATTTTTCCTCAGTTGAAAGCTTTTTAAAACCGGCACTTTAACATGCACGAGGTGAAACATACCATAGCAAATAACCTACGAATCAAACTCGAATTTTCTCGTCGCGCATCAGTACTAAATGCATGTTGTGCAATTCACATTTTTTGCGAATATGAATTATAAAAGAAAAAGTTTTGTTTGTTGTTAACCCTATTAGTGGCAGGGGGGTTGTTTTTATCCACCCCTCAGGTTTTTCGGGAATATCTCCGAAACCGCTGAAGCTACGATGCTGAAATTTTCTGACTTTTCCTAAAACTTAATTGGGCACATTCCCTGAAAATTTCAAGTTCATAACTTTACCAGGGGCGGCTCCAGAGCACTGGGAATTGGGGGGTCCTATTCGTGAAGCGAGTCATTTGGGCGAAGATCACGATGCTGCACCAGTTTTACGAACAGTGAATGAAAGGTATCATGTGATAACATATACAAAGTTATTGTGCATCCTCTTTTGACACGTTTTTGCTATAATAGGCGGATCCAGGCGTCCAAAAAGGGGGGTTATTTTTTACCTCCCAACATAGGTGCCCTGACACCGCCTATGCATGACCAATACAATTTTAGTCGTTCTCTCATAAGAAAATTGTACCATAACAAGACCATTCCCAGTAAACATGCCGACGTCGGCCCGACGTCGGCCGACGTCGGGGTGACGTCGGCAACTCGGCATCGGCATGCCGACGTCGGCCCGACGTCGGTCCAACCTCGGCACGACGTCGGCTGGATGTCGGATATGCCCGCATGTTCCGACGTCCAGCCGAGGTCCAGCCGACGTCGGGCCGACGTCGGACCGAGATCAATTGCTGAGGTCCAGCCGACGTCGGGCCGACGTTGGGGCGACGTCGGACCGACATCGGCCGCTGTTTTGACCGTTAAAATAATATAAAATACATGTTTCATGTTTCATAAAGAGCTTCTGTATTCAAAATATCCTCAGGAAACTCAAATCTTCCTCCACGCCGCAACCCCCTGATCCGGACTGGACGGGAAACATTATCCCATTTGGGATTGCCCGTAAGCCGAGCTCGCCCGTAGCCGGGTGCGGTGAGTGCTTGGGGGCTGCTCGGCCTATCCTTTGGTCAGGCTCAGCCCCGGCAACTCACCAGGGCCGGGCCCAGTTCATATAGAAAGGTCAGTCGGCAAGTGTCACTTTGCCAAAGTGCCACTTATCAAAGGGACACTTTGGGAAACGTTGGTGCAGGTGTGTAAGAGTGGCTATATGAATCCATTGTGGGGTCGCCCTTTCCAATAAGTGTCACGTAACAGCAATGGGACCAGGGAGTCAGGGACTCTATATGAACTGGACCCAGGGTGCTCGCCAAGAAGACCAATGTCTCCATGCTATGAAACTTCCGGCTCTGAAATGGTCTTGTCAGACCGAAAGGTCATAACCGAACAAAACAAACCAAATCTTAGCTGGCTGCGTGGTGTAGTGGTTAGCGCACTAACCTCGCGTTCGAATGACACTGGGTTCGAATCCCATCGACGGCTGATGCTTTTGGCGTGTTGTCCCAGTAAACATGCCGACGTCGGCGACTGGGGGGCTCGAATCCCGCCGCCGGTTGATATTTTTGGCGCGTTGTCCCAATAAACATGCCGACGTCGGCCCCGTCGGTCCAACGACGAACGATCTCGTCAACCTCGGCAAACGATCTCGGCCCGACGTCGGCTCGAAGTCGGCTGGACTTCGGCTGGACGTCGGAACATGCGGGCATATCCGACGTGCAGCCGATGTCGGGCCGAGGTTGAACCGACGTCGGGCCGACGTCGGGCCGAGCCTCGGCCCGACGTCGGGCCGACGTCGTCATGTTTACTGGGTTGCCACCCTTTTTAGAAACAGTACCAACAAAAACCTTATTTACTATACTTTTTGTGTACCCCCAATCTCAATGATCTGTATCCGCCTATGATTTTTGAAAATGCATATTTTTAGGATCCATGTGAATTCCTGGTTCATTCTCTATCGATCGGCAAAAGTTGCGTTAAGATTGGTTCAGAAACCTGGCCGTGATAAACAGTCTAAAATGTATCTGCAATTTGCCCGTTTTTACCCCCCTCTACCCCCTATTGACATTTTTTAATTTTTATTTTTTAGAAATGTAGATCACGTTGAGCGAAATCGAATGCCGTTTGAATTTTGAAAATCGGCCCGTTAGATCTCGAGATATCAAGGGGGGGGGGTCGTAAACAGCCCCCCCCCCCTGCCACCAATAGGGGTAGCCAGGAGCCTGCCACTAATAGGGTTAAGTCACTAATGCAGGGCTGCGGAGTCGATGGATTTTCGGCGACTCCGACTCCGACTCCGACTCCGGGCAGAATTGTCGACTCCGACCGACTCCAACTCCCGACTCCGACTCCGCAGACCTAGCAGGGCTGCGGAGTCGACAGATTTTCGGTGACTCCGACTCCGACTCCGGCTCGGGTTTCTAAAATCGACTCCGACTCCGACTCCGACTCCGACTCCGGTCACAACTGTCGACTCCGATCGACTCCGACTCCGACTCCGACTCCGACTCCGCAGCCCTGCTAATGAACCTTCCACCTTCCACAATTTAGACAAATTACAACCTATGTACTGTGTAGATAACACTCAAAAGTCAAAATACATTTAACCCTCGCCCGCACATGGGAGGGGTGGTTGCCACCCCCCCCCCCCCCCCAGGCAGTCTTTCTGCTCTGCACTCAGCATTTTTAGAGCTAGAAGGCTGATTTTTCGTATAGCTGCTCGTCTATCCTTTCTTGATGTCCACTGAAAATTTCAAGTTTTTGTGATATTTGGTTTCGGAGATATGACCTTGTTTTTCAGGTCATGTCATGACCCAAATGGCCAATTCTCAACATTTTGCGTTTGCCATGGGCCTTGTGAGCTTTTGACACCCTGATTTCGGCCTTTTTTGCCAGTCTTACCTCCCACCTATCATGGAACATGTTGTTCGACGATGTACAGAGGTCAAGGTCAGGGTCAAGGTCAACCTAGGTCATCTAAGATAATTGCGTTTTAGGCAAGCTGAATTTACTTTTTGTGAAGTTTTTTGACTGCATTTTTGGTAAAAGCTTCTCAGATCATGATTTCATGTGATATGGACCCAAAAACAATCGGTGCACACATCAGTATACACACAGACACACACAGACATACAAACACATATAATTGACCTTGACCTAACTTGACCTGAAATGACCTCAGCAGCAAAATTCTGGTCGGATAGTGTGACAAAGAGGTTCTAGCTGGCTTGGCACCAGAAAACAGCATCGTCATCGGTATTTGATAAGCAGCGCACTTGATATCCAACGGTGACCCAAAACAGCAACATTTTTTAGTTTGACCTGACCTGGGAGGTCAATGACTGACCTGAGAAGGTAAAACTGGGTATCATTGGATTCGTCTCTTCCCAAAGAATCTTTTTGGTCTTTACTGCTAAGCTCTATCTCCAACAGGAACGAAATGGCGCGGGGGGGGGTGGCAACCACCCCCCCCCCCCCATGTGCGTTCTAGGATGGGAAAATGGCATGTGCGGGCGAGGGTTAATGATCGACCAGTTACTGCAGCAGTCGGTCAAATTATTCAGCAAAGAAACCATAGAGTTCAGCGCCTCCCCTGCGGAAGGCCTGGGGGCGCCTCTGCTAATGGTTCACGGTTCACGGGCTGTCAGGGCCAGGCCAGGCTGCCGTGACTGTGACGTGGCTCTATTTCGTCGGCCACCGAGAGTTGCGTCATCAGGTTCAGCGATACCCAGCGTCACACGTAGGCTTTCAACCTGTGAACGTAGATGCGCCATAGGAATAATGTATTTTGTTTAAATAAAGTCCACTGTTTGTTTGACAAAGGCACGGGCTGACAGACGATGAAGATGCTCGTTGATGACATTAATCGTCGTGATGTCAGCTCGTAATTATTAGAACGAAACACAAGCGAACACATTACGTAAGTAACCTTCGTACTCGTACTAACTACAATACTTTTAATTCTGAACGTACTCTCGAGTACCGTCGCCTGTCTGCATTATGTAACGATAACGACGAGGGTCGTCGCCTCGCCCGCACTATTTTCCTGCGTGCTTTGTACTGACAAAGGCAGACATACTGGCCTGAGTGCTGTTGTTATCGGTATACTCGACTTTTCACTCGGGTTAGAGGCCCTATATGCTGCGGATTGCGGTGTGTACTGTTTGTACATGTTCCTTTAGTTCAACTGAGGCTTGAGTTGCGGCCATAGTTTGCGTGCACATATACATATTTGGAGACAGATGTCAAAACTTATAGTCTTCCTCGTCTCAGTCTAAACCTAAACGTTACATTTCAGTAGAGCTGTTGGTCATACCAGAGGCACCGTTTCTCAATCTAGGTTTTGCAGACTTCGCTTGCCTAGGTTCTCAGTAAAAATGAACCTTGCCATATCCACTCGTGCCAATGGACAATGGGTTTTCGAGGTTATATAACAAACAAGTTACGCTGTGAAACATATATGCGATGTTAACCCATGTGAGCCAAGCCCCTGCTGCTTTAGAGCTGCTACCATTAGTCCGCACGTCTTCATCGGCATTGCCAAGCGTGTCCCTGCACGTCCACTGATTCACCCCGCAGTCCGCGCGGTCGGCTCCGGAGCGCTCGAGAACGTTCGCTGAATGTGCCCGGTCACGGTGACTCCCGCTCGCCCGGCGCCGGAGGCGCGCCTCAGCGGCCGTGCCTCTGCACGTCGACCCGTGACTCTCAGAGGCCCGGACTTCGGAACGAATATTGTCAGAGATGCTAGGGTGACCGCTCGTTCAAGATTAGTTGCTATGGCGACTGTTGCATAAGCCACGTCCTTCGTGCTTTGCAGACAGAATATTTGGAATATTTCCTTACTACCCAGTGCCCACTGACCTGAGCGTGTGTGGGTGAAAGG